TGGTGATACTGGGAGGGTGGAGGGAAGGTGGGGTAGAAAGGGGGAACCAGTTACAAGGATCTACATATAACCCCCTCCCTGGGGACAGACAACAGAAAAGTGGGTGAAGGGAGATGTCGGACACTGTAAGACATGCCAAAATAACACTTTATAAATTATCAAGGATTTGTGAGGGAGGGGGGAGCAGGGAGGGAGGGGGAAAATGAGCTGATGCCAGGGGCTTACGTGGAGAGCAAATGTTTTGAGAATGATGAGGGTAACAAATATGCTTTATACAATTGATGTATGTATGGATTGTGATAAGAGTTGTATGAGCCCCCAATAAAATGATTAAGAAAAAAAGAACTGATACATACAAAGCACAGTAAAAAAAAAAAAAGAAGTTAGATGATTTACTGTTTGGGTCTGGGAATTTAAAAGCTAAAGCAATGTTAAACAAATAGTCTGAATTGTGTAGGAGCCTATTTTGACAGCTCCCGAAACATTCTTCTTTTTTAAATATTGGGTAAACTCCCAAGGCCCAAGGCCCAATGCCACACATGGCCATGCCTCCCTCTCAGATATCACAAGGCAGCATGGCAGACTGCAGAGAGCCCTGCACAGGCAGAAGTGCCAGCCACCTCTGCCAACTGTGAACCATGCCAGTGCAGACTGTCATTTCAGGATCTTCACTTCTTCTAAAAATTATCTTGCTTCTAAGGAATAGTAAGCAAGGACCAAATAAATTTAAACCCCATTGTATCCATAGAGACTAAAACAGTGCCTAACGCTTGGTAGGCCCTCAAAGCTATGTACTAAGTGGACAAGTGAGAATGAATTTAATCCCATACAACTGATCACAGGATTCCCAACAGGGAGATCGGCCTTATTATTTCTCTCAGGCTGAGAGAGCTTCTGACTTACCAAAAACCAGTGCTGGAAATAAAGTTCAAAATTCCATGATTCTAGAGGTAATCTTTATTAGAGTCTTAGCAAAGTCCAAATTTGGGAACCTATACCTGTATTGTCCCCCATGACTGCAAACGTTTAACAGGTATAAGAATTGGTTCTGAAAAGAATGTCAGCTACTTGTAGGATGTTCAAAACCAGCTGCACATTTCCACCTTTTTATAACATGGAAAATGATGGAATATGCCTTTAAATTTGGTGTTTTATTTCTCATATTTACTTTTGACTTCTCACAAAAGCATGGTTGCTAGAGTCTATGATGATCCTTTATAATGCCTTTCAAATAAGATTGATTTAGTCTTAGGTGGTTGCACTTTAAAGTTCATGGGAGTACTATGTAAGTATTGTTTTCTTTCACGGATTAGGATGATCTTTTTCACACATATAATCATCTCTGTATACATTTATGTTTGCCAATTCCACTCTAATAAAGACAGTAAATGTTTTTAGCATCACATACAATTAATTTTTCTTTTGTTGTTCTTAGCAAAGAATTACATTGAGTAGTTCTTAAAGTCAGGAACTCCCCAGAGTTTACAGTAAATCAAAGTGGTATAAACGTGCCATTCAATATCATGCCAATCAATATCAAGCAAAATTCTCAAGACAGATGAAAATTCATAATGTTTTAACAGTTCACTCAAACACTTTATACATTGTGTAAATGTCATAAAATAACTTTTTTTAATTCAGTAGGAAAAAGCATAATTTTATTACTATTCTTTTAGCCCTGGCATACTATGTTTTAGCTACCATAATTTACTTTTACAGTTTTTGTAATACGTCTAATAGTAGTGTTTTGTGCTACATTTTTCAGAGGTGTGCTAATTTGATTTTGTGTCAACTTGGCTGACTTAGGATTCTCAGTAGTGGGGCAAAAAGACCTCCCCCATAAAATGCAGATTACAGCCTGATGACGTCACCTTGGGTCTGTGGCCTAGTTCATATCTATAAATACACTGGAGAACTGGCTCTCTCCTCTCTTCCTCTTTTTTTTTAAATTTTATTTTTATTTATTTATTTTTTTCCTCTCTTCCTCTTGCTGGCCTGGATCCTGTGTCAGATTCTTTGGGACTTAGGCCAGCAGCCCACCATGTGGCCTGCCTGCCCTGGGAGTTGTTGATGGTCTGCATTGTTGCCTACCTTGAATTCATTCAACTCTGCCTCCATTGACATAGTTCTGCCACCTGTTCTGTCTTCCCGCTTCCTAATTCGTCAGCCAGGAGCTCCATGCATTGGGAGGGGCCTCTAGCTATGCATCTGATCTATGGAGTTGAGCTGGACTGGGCTTGCCCCTCTGTGGCTTGTGGTCCACTTGCATGATATAACCTTCTTCCTTAATGTAAATTGATCAGACATACATGAGTGTCACTGGTTTGGTTTCTCTAGAAAAACCAGTGTAGCACAAGAAGAATACATCTGGAATAGATTCTGCTTTTAGTGGTACCAAAATTTTAACTATATCCAGGGAGACTAATATTTTAGCATTACAAGTATTTGGTGTCTTCTACTTTTTAGCAAAACTATCTCTTAATGCATTCACAGGCACCCATAGGGAAATTCTCCTTGGAATTTTCAAATTGGTGGGACCTCCTTTGGAACAGGAAACCTAGGTTAAGAAATAAAGCAGATCAAATTACAAGCACATGCCAGCCATATCCATCCTGTGCTCCTAACACTGAAAAACAGATGAAGTGTTACTTTATTTCTATTAGATGTTCTTTCTCATTTTCTTCTATGTAAAATGGTATGATATTCTTTGAAGGTAGTCTACTATGTTAGTTTACTATTGGCTGATGTGGTAAACTACTACAAATTGTTGTGGTTTAAAAAGCAAATTTATTCTTTTACAGTTCTGTAGGCAAGAAATCTAAATGGCTCTTAAGGATGTTATTAAGACTGGTTTTTCTGGAAGCTCCAGCACAGAAACCATTTTGACCTCTTTCAGCACTCCTTGGCTTCTGGCCCCACTAATCTAATCTCTGCTCCTTTCACACTGTCATACTGTTACATAGTCTTCCCTTAAATTGACCCTCTTACCTTTGTAATTACATTTTGAGTTTACCCAGATAACACAGGAAAATCTCTTCACCCTGAGATTCTTAATCGTATCTATAAAGTCTCTTTTGCCATCTAAGGTAATTTATTCACAGATTCTGGGAATTGGGACATGGACATCTTGGGTAGCTAGTATTCAGCAAATTACAACCATAATAACTTAAGGATGTCTACTTTAAACCCTATAAATCAACAACAACGGACGTTATCATTGAGCAGATTCTAATTCGTGGGGACCCCGTGTGTTTCAGAACAGAAATGCACATAGGAGTTTCAAAGGCTATGAACTTCAAAGAAGATCCCAAGCCTTTATTCGTAGGCATCGCTGGGTGAATTAAAGTCTCCAACTTTTTAGTTATTAGCCACGCACTTAACTGTTAGTGCCACCAAGTGACTCCATAAATCCCAATAGCATTTTAAACCCGTCAGCCTGCTATTCGGAGAAAGAAGGCTCTCTACTCTTGTAAAGAGTTATAGTCTCAGAAACTCACAAGGGCCGCCCACCCTGTCCTGCAGGGTCACTGTGAGGTGAAATGGACTCAGTGGCAGTGAGTGTGAGGCACCTGATCAAAATTAGATCCGGCCATTTATGACACTGGTTCTTGCCACTAACATGTGGAAGGGTTCTATGTGAGCAGGAGCTTTAAAAGACAGCCTGTATTCCATTGCTCTTTCTTTCTATCTCTCACAAGAGCAGCATGTTATAACTAAGAGTCACTGCCTGGGCTCCCTCCTGGCAAGAAATATGTGGAGCAGAGCAATAGTAGACACCTATCATGAGCAATAAATAGAGCTTTGATACTCTAAGTCACTGAGATTACAAATATTGCATTTGAAATGTTTCTATAAAAGTTGAGCAGTCAGGCAAAGAATTGGATAGTCAGAGAGCAGATCGTAACTAGAATTAGAACTTGGAAGCCATCAGCATCTCGATTGCACTTGAAGCAAAGGAAAGGAGCTCAGATGTTGCTGTCGGGTCAGCATTGGACTGCTACCCACAAGGTCAGTGATTCAACCTGACGAGCCGTGGGAAGGGAGAAAGACCAGGCTGTCAGCTCCTGCACAGATTTGCAAAGCCCTGAGAATCAATAGAGGATCACGATGAGGCAGAATTGACTCGATGGGAGTAGGTCTGTTTTTGGTTTTAAGCTGAGTGGATAAGATCACTCAGAAAAGTAACAGAAAGAGAGAGAGAGAGAGAGAGAAAAGAGGTCCCAGAGGAAGGTGAGATGGCAAATGAGACAAGACTGGTCAGATACTTGGAATTAGCACCCACTCGATGGCAGTGGGCATTGTTTTCGGTTTGGTATCAGCATTTGAGAGAAGAAATGAAAAACTCAGCAGGAACTACTAATATTTGTTGATCTCATGGCATATCCCAAACTATTTTCTTCCTTACGGAACAAAATAGTGTCTGTTGTTAGAATTTAGCTATCAACTTTCTGAACCGCAGCTCATTTTATTCTATTGTGAATCCAGAGATGGTGTTACTATTTTATGCAAACATAACCATTTATAAACAAAAATTGAGCTCTTCATGATATGCAGGGTTAGTCAAGCTCCACTAACAGCTCCTCAGGTGCCCTAGAGCAGTGTGTACAGAGTACTACAGAAGGAAATGGACTAAGTTATGAAACAGTGTCCTCTGAGTCAGGAATTGCGACTTGAGAAATGCTGGGAGTGTTTTGACTCACATGTTGGGTTTGTGGTTTTCAGAGAGTTGATGCTGATTTCCCATCAGAAAAGCATCGAGCAGCTGCAGGAAACCGTTAGACAGAAGCTGCTGAGTGATGCCGACTGGAGGGAGAAGGTAACACTGGCATGTTCTCCTCAGCATGGGCTTTATGTGCTTTCTTTAGTGCTGTCCTTTTGCTAGAAGACTGCGTCCCAGCTGGATTTCTTTGCTCCCGTGCCCCCTTTTAGTGCCTTCTGGAATTCCTAGGCCAACATGCTGATGAGGCATATCTTCCAAAATATTAGACAGCATAATGGAAAATAAATGATCAAGATAGAAGTTCAAAATCTTTTAAGAGGAAAATAACCCTTACCTTTCAGGTCAGAGCATACTGTTTTGTTTTGTTTTTTGGCCTCCTCAGAGGCAAAGCCTGCCCTCTGACCACATTCTTCAAAGAAGGGAAATATTAATTCCTGTACAACTTCCCTGGTGAGAGGATGGAAAATGACTGGAAGTTATTTCATTGTGAACATTTAGTGTATGCATCCTAGCAATTAACCATGCATGAATATTTACCTTTCTGGATATTATTTACAAAGAAAATAATCACTCAAAGTATATAAAATGACATTGATTTATGTGTGTGTGTGTCTTTGGATTTTCTATATTGTTTTTAAAGGTTCAGCAATGAATATAATTTTCATAATTTCAAGATTATGTAGCAGGTAAAGTATTAAAAGTCGCTGGTCCTTCCTTCCAAGACTAGGCAGAACTGCTGTCAGTGGGGTGCTGCGGTGCTGGCCACCATCTCCTTGCCATCAACTTCTGATACTTGTAGACCGATCCCTGGGCTGCGCTCTGAGCACAGACATCCCCTGTCCCTTTTCTCCCCAATCTCTGTCTTACATCTGGCTCCAGAACTGAACCTATCCACTGAAAATTTCAGATTCCTTAACTGAAGACCCAACCCCCTGTTCGGTTATCAAAAGATTCTTCTTCTTAGACTCTGAAGCAACCCACGGCGGCCACTCCAACAAATAGCTGCACACAAAATTCCCCACTTTTCCACCCAGCAGATTGAAACCACTTAGGTATTGCTATTGGCTGAGGTCAAGGCTAACTGTGTCACCTGCATTTCCAAACTTCCAACCCTGGCCACTCTCAGCCATTCCTAGCCCATTGTAAATGGCTTCTTTTTCCTCTCAGGAATCACATTCTGGCTGTGACAAACATAATCACTATCATAGAAGTTCCATAAAGACACAAATGCTTAAGTGCAAATATGGGCTAAAGTTGCCATAAGCATCTCGTTCTTATTTTGTTTCATTTGATAGTGGAGGAACACTCCTTTTAATTCCTCTCAAACCCTCGCATTCTTCCTGAATGTATTGATCTCAATCAATCTACTTAATTGGCTGGTCTGTTCTTCTTCATTTCTCCCATCCTTAACAATTCATGTTTGAAAAATCAAAAGGATGTGAGATGTTCAGCCTTACTACTAATAAAAAAAATTAAAACACTGAGAGAGAAAGTTTTTACTCGTGCAATTGATAGTGTGTTTTTTTGCACTGTGGTGAATTGAGGTCGTTTCTCTCATCCTTACTCTTTTGGTGAGCAGTTTCACAAAGTGTGTCAAAAGATACTGTAGCAGTTCCAACTGGTGACTCAGAAAAGGCGTGGATGGAACACTGACAAAGATTATCAGCTTGTTCCTTCCCTCACACACCTACATGCCTTTTCTCGGACAGAGTGGCCATGTGGATGCGCTCTCTCCATCGCTGAGGTCACATCCTGCACGAGGCTTTCTGGTGCACTGACCAGGAAAGAGGTCGCTGGGTGCACACCCCACTCTAGTACTCCTGCTCCCTTTCTCTGGGCCTTCAGGTGCTGCCTGCCACATGTGCAGAGAGCAAGACAGTGTTCATGTGTTCATGCTTTAGCTGCTAAACTAATTTGGCTTTAGATTTTGAAGCTGATTTAATAGTGAAACATAAACCTGTATAGGAGTTTCTGTATTCTAAGATCATGATATGTTTCAGACAGATCATATCACAGATGTATTTTTGGAACTGTATCATTGTCTATAGTATAACTGGACATGTCATTGTATTAGGACATGACTTCTTATCAATAAATGCCATCTTATTAGCTTAGCAATAAATCAAGATCCAGACAACTAAAGCCAAAGAATGATAACTATGTCTTGACTGTGTTAGCTATTGAGCCTGTGACTAAAAATCCTCTCATGAGAAAGGAGAATCGCTAATCTGACATTGTCATCTCTTCCGTAGGTCACTGTGCCTTTGCGTAGGAATGAAATGTTCCTTTTACAAGTATATAAAACACATATTAGAATAGACTTCATAACTTAAATGCCTTTAATGTTAAAAAATTAGATATTGGTTTGTGCTAGTGCTTAATTATTTTAGACTGTATAAAGGGCACATAATAGAATCAATAGTTGCTATGCAACAAAGATGGTGCATTTAAAAATAGTTGTATTTACTAATTGTCATAAATTTTTGTTTATTTCCAGTATTTCTTTGATGTGAATAAAGTAAATTAATGTTCATGCTGAACCTTTACAATCATTTCCAAATGCACAGTGTTATTACTATTCAGCTCAAACTATGTAATTAAATTTTGTGTAGCTATAGTTCCTACATAGTCAACTCACATTACCTATTGCCTATCATTTTTTAGTTCAATAAACAAGTTCTAGATAGATATTACCAAAACATCTCATTTAAGAACATTTTAATTGCCCTATTGACCTCATTTCAAATAGTACATAGAGTTGTTAAGAACTAGTATTTAAAACAAAGTCTTTCTTCCTAAATGAAGCAATTGGATTTATAAGGAAATGGGGGAAGGGATAATTTATTTAATAAAATAGCCAGTTCCAAAGTTGAAGAAAGACCAAAAAAAACTCTTAATTTTTTTGAAATTGGAGAGCCAAAAAGTCTAATAATTCCTAATGTATTTCAGTATACCATTAATGAGATTTAAAATATTAACTGTAAAATACCAAATTTGTCAAGAGTTGAAATGATGATTTCCAAATAAGGCCAATAAATGGCCTACATAGTCATCTAATTTAATTCCTTAGTCTAGGTGAAAAACATAACCTCATTAGTAGAGGGTTTACTATATGCCAGGCCTTGTGCTGAATAGTTTCCATAAATATAATTTAAATCATCCTGATGGTTTCCACGCAAAACAAACAAACAAAGGAACAGAGAAGTTAGACAGTTTGACCAAGGTCATATAGACAGGAAATGACAGAGCTGAGAATTAACATTTGTGTATATAAACACATAATCTAAAGCATGGGCATCTAGCCAAGATAAAGTAACAGGGATTATATTTACCCTCCTACATGAAACAACTCAAACACTGAAGAAAACATAAGAAACGATTATTTGAAGATATTGGGCATTAAGCAACAAAGGACAGTGATCCCTAGAGACAAATAAGGCAATTGTTCCATGATACTTTCAAAGAAATTCCAGACCATGGTTCAAGTGACGTTTGGCAGATTCTCTAAAGTGAGTAGACACTGATGAGACTCTAGGAAGATCTGAGTCTAGAGTTTACAGAAGAGTGGAGTATAACACACACACACACACACACACACACACACACACAGGTCTGAAGACCAATAGTTCCCCATGCGTATGTGTATGATCAGCACATTTGTGTTGGAGAAATCACCCAAAGCTGAGGAAAGGAGTACCTGAAAGAATTTGAGAAAGGAGTAACCAAAACTTACACATAGCCAAGAATGACACCTTTCCTACCAGTTGCCTAGAAAACCTATAATTCAGAGGACATTAAATTGAGTACTCATAAGGTTCTAAAATCAGCGGTAGGAGTAATTAGCCTAAGTAAAATGCTGTCCTAGTTCTTCCTAAGATGTTTTAAAAGAAATATGTAAAAGGAACTAAATTACATCCCAGAACAGAACTGTCAAATATTCAGAAGAAGGAAAATATATTCAGTACTTAACAAAAAAAAATCCACAATGCTTGGACTCCCGTAAGAATAGCCAAGCATGTAAAGAAAAGGAAAAATAGAAACTATAATGAGAAGAAGAAGAAGCAATAGCTAAAAATTAACTCAGAATTGATATCAATGTTTGAATTAGCAGACAATAAAGACATAAAAACATTTATGCTAACTGTTCCATATGTCCAAAAGCTTGGGAAAAATTGACTATGTTAAGTAGGGACATGGAAGACAGTTTTTTCAAAACCCAAACTGAACTTCTGTGGATTAAAACTACAATGTCTGAGATTAAAACCACACTTTATGGTATATCAGATATATATATTTTAAAACTTAATGAGCTTAAAGACATGACTTTAGAACCTATCCAAATTAAACAAGAGAAAAGAGATTCCAAACAAACCCCGAGGGTTGTGATCTACACATGTGACCCAATACATGTGTAGGTGGCTGGGTGGTGCCCAAAGTTAAGTATGTAATCACTAGCTGAAAGATTGGCGGTTCAAACCCACCCAGAAGCACTTTGTAAAACAGACCTGGCAATCTGTTTCTGGAAAGCTGTGGCCTTAAAAACCCCAGGGAGCAGTTCTACTCTGCACACACGCAGTCACCATGAGTGAGAATCCACTCCACAGCAATAGCAAGATACACCCAGGAACTCAGGAGCTCTGGAAGTAAAGGAGAAGAGGGAACAGAAAAAATATTTGAAGAATCATACCTGAAAATTTTTAATTTGATGGCAAGAATAAATCCACAGAGTTAAAAATATCAGTGAATTCTGAGTAAATGAAACCAAGCACAGCAAGGTACATTATAATCAACTTGTTCAAAACTAGTGATAAATGAAAAGTATAAAAGCAGCCAGGAAAAGGGGTATGTTACATAGATGACAGCAGATGTTTCATTGAAAACGATGCAAACAAAACTACAGTGGAACTGAAAGTAGAACTGAAAGTAGAAAGGAGAAGCAAAATCTTTTTAAACTATTGACCTAGAATTCTATACAAACCGAAAATAACTATCCAAAACAAGAGTGAATAGATTTTTTCTCTCTCCAGAAATACAACAGTTGAAAGAATTTATCACTAGCAGACCTAACTGTCAGACTGACAATTACACCCAATGGA